CTGATGTGAACTAAGAGATTTCTCTTGAGGCACAAGGCACCAACAGCTTATATTATTAATATATATTTTTAAAGCTGTAACTCAATTGTTTTGGTCTGCTTGTTACCATAATGGAGTGACTTGCAGCCATCAAATCACTATCTGGTTCCTTGGATAGTTGGTTATAAAATAGTGTTTGGTTTAAAAAAAAAAAAAAGTCTAAGGAAGGTTGGAAATGTGGCATGGAAAATAGTTAAAGCAATTTAAAACAAATCATACCGTAGGTACTGAAATGTGCCCAGATCCATCTAATGTGTTCAATTAACAACTACTTAAAATCTTCAAAGAAAGAATGGGGAAATAATGCCACTCTAAATGGGATTAGTTAATACTGACCTTCTATCTTGCAGAAGCAGACACAGAATTAAAAGGGGAGTGACAAGACAGCTTGAATTTCCAGCAGTGAACTGAAAGCAAACTCTGGCCATGACTTTCTATGGAAGCAGATAGGACCACATCTCTACAGTGCAAGCTCTCTTTGCCTGGCACTGGAAATCTGAAAGGTGGGCATAACCAGTGCCGGATTTACGTATAAGCTAAACAAGCTATAGCTTAGGGCCCATTCTCTTGAGGCCCCCCAAAAAATTTTAAGGGGGAAAAAACGGATGTACATTTCCAAAATATAAGATAAAAAACAAATAAAATGGTTTTAGATAACTATTAGGTCCATAAATTACCATATAGCATATATTCAACACAAAAAACAGTGACAATTTGTTGTTGGCAAAGGATAGCTGGACATATAAAGGGCCCCATTACCTTCAGTAGCTTAGGGCCCTGGGCATAATGAATCTAGCAGCAAGTGTGATGCACATTGGGACCAGGGCCCTGCGACAAAGTAGCAGGATCTAGGACCATATGAAGTTGCCTTATACCGAATCAGAACAATTGGCTCATCTAGCTCAGTACTGCCACAGTACAGCTGTTTTTGGACTACAACTCCCATCACCCTTAGCTGGCAAGATCGGTGGTCAGGGATGATGGGAATTGTAGTCCAAAAACAACTGGAGACCCAAGTTTGGGAATGACCTACACTAATGGTCAGTGGCTCTCTAGGGTTTTGGGAAGGAGTATTTCCCAGTGTTACCTGTAAATTGAATATGGGACCTTCTGCATGCAAAACATGTGATCTACCACTGCAATACTGAGGGTTGCATTGTTTTAAGAAATGGAGAGCCAGTGATGGACACAAGGCCATTCCTAGAATACATTGTTATTCATAACAATGCTGAAGATAACTAATAATAATGATCTGTATAACACTTTTCAGTGTGAGACCATAAGCTGTTATGTCACCTTGCGCCTGCATGGTATGTACTAGAAAAATGCCACTTTTTGGTGACCAGACAGAAATGTCAGCATGGGGAAGAAGCTCAAACAAAACACCCTTAACAATTGTTGCAAAAAGCTCTGGGGAGGTTTTACAACACAGAGGAGACAACAGTGGCCCCAGCACAATATTACAGGACTCATAACTAGGTCCCAAGAGATGCCTCATGCCTCGCTCGTTGCTGTCCAATTTATCTTTTTTAATAGTACCAGGAAAGGGGGGAAACCCACCAATCCTCATGCTTCAGTTTTCGAAGCAAGAACATTTCAAGAAAGGCCAGCCACTTCCACCAAAACATTTCCCATGGAGATAAAGCAGCCTTCCCCAAACTAACGTTAAGGGTATAAGAAAAGTCTAGCTGGGGCAGACTGGCGTCTGGCATTCTGTTCCTTCAGTGGCCACCCAGATGCCCCAGGGAGAACCTGAGTGCAAAAAAGCTCTCCCCACTTGTGCTCCCCAGCAACAGCCATTCAGAGGGATGTTGCTTCTGATAGCAGAGACAGTACACAGCCATCATGGCTAGTAATAGTAGTAGGATTTATTGGGAAATAAATTGTGAAAGGCTTAATTTTCAACCTGTACTGGGCCAGGACTTGCATCTCCAAGGAATTAATACCTTCCAAACCAGAAGTCCCCCTACTGTGGGCTTGTCAGAGTGAACTGTAGCTTAGGGAGGTTTGATCATATGATGCTGCCTAATACCATGTCAAACAATTGGTCCATTCAGCCAAGTACCATTTACTCAGCCTGGCAGCAGCTTTCCAAAGGCTCTGACAAACAATGTTTCTTCCCAGTCCTAGCAGTGCCAGCAACTGAACCTGGGACCTTTGACAAGCAAAGCACATGCTCTACCACTGAACTATAGCTTTCTCATGTATCTACATCTGTAACGTAACACATTCTAAGCTTCCTTCTCTCTTCCACTGATTTTCTCAGATATTCTCTGGGTCAAAACCTGCATAAGGCCTATTTGCCGTTTACTATTTACTACCCCCTCCCCTTCAAAAGAAAGTAGATTTAAGATACAATTGCGTCCTGCAACTTCTTTTCCTTCAAAATGGAAGCAACCCAATTACACACACTTTTTAAAAACTGAGAATATAAACATGAAGGGTAGTTTAGGGTACACAATACTGAGCAAAATGGATAAATAGTCTGACTTGGTAGCAGGCAGATCCACACATTTTGCTCCAAGCTTAGAAGACTAAAATAAATTTCAGGTTGACAACAGAGTTCAAGCAGGCTCTGAAGCATTACTGCACTGCTGTCAGGCTGGGCTCTTTTCCCCTACACAACGATGCAAAGAGTAGCCTTTTTTAGGGCCTGTTAGTAGTGTGCAGAATGCATTAGCTGCTCAGAACAAATGGCCTCACATGTCCCAATTCTCTTTTTATTACCCTACCATATGACTAATGAATCTACAGCATAGAAGTAGTCTATTGCCATCCAGAAGAATATCAGCCATCCTCTATCTGGGGCCCTCCAGATGTTTTGGACTACAACTCCCATCAGCCTCAGGCAGCACAGCCATTGGGAGTTGCGGTCCAAACATTTGCAGGGCACCAGGTGGGGGGAGGTTGGTATAGATTGTTGCCCAAACTAGGACCAGCAGTTTTCCTGGTTACCCCAGAGACATTCAATATTAGATCTCAGCCCTGACACACATGAAGCAATTGTTTCTTCTGAACACCTGCTTCCACAGAATGCCTCAATCTCATGACTCAACCCACTGGATGCATGTGGGATCAAGGACTCTGTCACATTTCTAAGCTCTGGCATCCTTTCTTTTTCTGAATAAAAGAAATGCAGAGAAAACCTCTTTAGCTTTATTACCCAAGGGATCTAAGGAACACACTAGCTCAATGACACATAGTCTGGCTCAAAAGGGATGTTTGGAAATTCCAACATAAACTCCAGCTGTCCTCTCCAAATGCTCCCTGGCCCACCCCAGTGTCGACAGACAGTGTGACTTTAATGGCAATGGCCTTGCATGGCTTCCTGGAGCATCACCTTCACCTTTCTAAAGCCATTTCCCCTCGCTCTCCTCATTTAACACATCACTCAAACCACTTCAATAAAACAACGATCATGTTGAGGAGAGGTCTCCGAGGAGCAGATGACACACCAATTAACAAAGCACACAGAGACAAATTGTTCCATGCTTCTGACTCAGGAGAGAAAAGCAAGCAAAAGGCAAAGAAGAGGAAAGGAAGTTTGTTCAAGAAGAGGCAATAAGCAGACCCTCCCTGTGCAAAGAGATGGCACTACCCAGGCCCAGGGCTCTTTGAACAAGCTCTCTGGTGTTAAGTTTAACTATCCCCACTATAGGACTCAAACATTTAGTTGTGGGGGGAGCAGATTACTTATCTGAAATCATCGTGCAGTGTTAGCAACAGGAAGCAGAAAGGGGCCCTCCCATTTTATCATAACAACTATGTGTGGTATGTCAAGATAAGAAATGAGCTTAACACATGGGATGGAGGTTCAGGTCAAGCCAATGCCATAGGCCAGGTTTTGTAACATTCTGAATTATCCACATTATAATTGCGGTTGCAGCTAAGAGTAGATTACCACCCAGGTCATAAAGCATATTAATGATGGCCAGGATATACAAATTTTACTCATCATGCCCAAAAAACTTCAGATGAACACTCTTAACTGCAACAGCAATACCTCAAAATGTTACAGACACCTGGCCCATGTCTTTGGCCTGACCAAGCTAGGCATGAGCTGAGCACCCATTTCCTGCACCCTCCAGTTATCTGGCACTGGAGTGGTCCATTTCACTTACATGCGAGGCATGCCCAACCTAACATTTGGCAACCCAAGTTGCAGGCATGGAACAACAATAGAGGCAGAACTGAAATCTAATTTCATGGAACAACAATAGAGGCAGAACTGAAATCTAATTTCATTCTATGGGCTAGATTCAACTAAGATGTTGTACTGGTGCAATGGGGCTCCTCTTGCACTCCCTCAAACCCCCCCCAAAACCCCCACTGCTTCCTACGCATAACAGTGCAGGGAGAGGATGGGGAAAACAGTTCCCTCTGGCAAGCAGAAAAGCTTGGGTTGATAGAACAATGGCTTTAGCACAACATTAAATCCCATCCATAGGCTATAAGATGATGTAGTCAGTATGGGGTCTTTCCAACCTCAAGATAAAAACCTCAAGAGAAACTTCTTTCTGAAGAACAAATCCTTTCTGAATAAAACACAGAGACTAAACAATGGTTGTTAAATACTATTCAACATGCAAAAGGATGCTCCAAAGTGCAGTCACTTTGTAATCTTAGTCCCAGTTCACAGGTTTACAAATCCCTCACAAAGAATATCCCTGTACTCCCATTAGCTTCCCAAATGGTGTGCGAGCTGGGCTATCCATGCTGATGCCTGGTCCTCTAGTAGCCCCCATTCCACAGGATGCCTCTCCCTCAAAAGAAGAGGAAGGAATTGATCCTTTGTGGCTTGGGCATCAACGTGGATTACTTAGCTCACACATTATTTCCCCCATGCAAAAATTTCATATGCAGGATCTCTTTAAAAACACCCAAACCTGCATGAATCAGGAATCAAAACCCAATCGTGTTCTTTTTATATAGTTGAAAAACAAACATATAAAGGCACCTACCTCCATGAAGGAAATCCCTAGGCTCCAAACATCAGAATGAATTCCATACTGCTCTCCTGAAATGCGTTCTGGCTGTTAAAAGCAAATGAGGAGAGATAACTGAACCTAATGAAATGTCCAGAAATAAAAACACAACCTTAATTAGAGAGGGAAAATAAAAACTCAGATGCTAAAATGTTGATAAAAATGTTTGAAAGCATGCACTCTGCTGAATTTATTTCAACAGCAAAAGCAGACTTTTAAGGACTTTTCTCTTCACTCTCCTAATTGGGACCCATTAGATAAGCTCCCATGTAGGTTATGTTGGCAGGAGAGGGAACAACAATTCTAGCTGCACAATCAGAGTATGAGTGGCAACTTTAGAGGGCAATTGTATCACAAGGATACAATGAGACATGGAGTGGGACTTAAGAGGTGAAACTGGAAACGTTTGAGCAAGCAGCACAACTGGCAGAGAGTGGAATGGTGAGAAGTCAAAAGTTGCTTGGGGTTTGAGGGACAGCACTCTTTTTCAGAGTGGAGCTGAGAAGGAAGCAAGCATGAAACATGTGGCCAGCTTGACTGGGGTGGGTTGTCAGAGCAGCAAAGTGTTGGTGGGGCATTTAGAATTGGAAACCAGGAGCCAATGGGTTGGCAGAGAGTACACCGTGCTTGACCCAGTTACTGCCCCAAAGGCAGCATGCCAGCCTCAGTTGTATGTAGCTTTGCCAAGCATGGCCAAACTGCACTGTGCACTCTTGTGACATACAATACTGGATGGAGTTACAGTATCATGTGTAGCCTCACCTATTCAGGGCTAGTATTCCTTGTGTTTCTGACTGCTCTTATACAGCGCCAGGACCACCATTCTCTCATTGCAACTGAGCAACCAAAATGTCACTGGGGAGGCTGACCTTTCCAACTGCAGTACCCCGAAAAATGCTACCAAAGGGCAACTTCCTGGGAGCGCCCTAAGAGCAGCCCTCACTATACGGACCCTTCAATATACCATATTTTTTGCTCTATAAGACGCACCAAGTTTTTGGAGGAGGGAAACAAGAAAAAAAATATTCTGAATCCCAGAAGCCAGAACAGCAAGAGGGATCCGTGCACAGTGAAAGCAGCGATTCCTCTTGCTGTTCTGGCTTCTGGGATAGCTGCGCAGCCTGCATTCACTCCATAAGACAAACACATTTCCCCTTACTTTTTAGGAGGGAAAAAGTGCGTCTTATAGAGCAAAAAATACAGTACTTATTTCTATCCCAGAGTCTCTGATAAAGTTAGAATAAATGTACCCTTATAGACAACAAAGCAATCAAAATAAAATTAGATGCCATAAACTACTCAGGACATCACTTTCTCAACAATGCTCACATATGCATCTCTATTCTCATGTCATCTGTTTTATGCAAGTTACTAGCATATCTGTACGAATGTGTGAAGAAAGCAAGGGGGGGGTCCACAGAAAACCAGCTCTTGTTTAACTGTTCCCAAGCTAATGTACATTGCAACCTGCAAATAAAAGAGGTTCAGCTCACACCAATTAGCGGCAAGTTTAATACCGCTCGAGACAGCAAGGAACGCAAAATAGCCAGCCAGCTCTTTTACTCAAAAGCTGTGCTCTAAGTATTGCCAAGGTCAAGTACAGTGTGAAATGCAACAATAAAAAGACTCGACAAGACTCTCTTTCCCACTGTGCTGTTAATGCACCTGTCTAGTTCAGGCACCTTGCACAACTCCTTTCCCCCTCCACTCTATAATAACCCAGAAGCCTTTAGAGAAAACAAACGCACCCAAATTAGTGCCAGTCGAACGTGCTCAAGGATGCTTCCTCTCAGCTGCTAATCCCAGGTCAGGAGCTTTTAGCGCCAAGTAAACGTTAAGTAAAAAACACAGACACAATGGCCTAAATGGTCTTTAAGACTCAGCCTTCTAGACAGTACAGAGAGCAGAATTCTCCCAGAAGCAAAGCACATGCAGAGAACAGACCATAGCACTTCTGAGCTGAGTCCCTATGAACAAAGGCAAAGCAGTAGTGGTGTTCTGGAAAGGTGAGCCTTTCCTGTCCTGAGCTTATCATGAACTGTAGGGCTTGAACTGGGGCTCTGGGAGGTCAGACTCTAGATCCCTCCACTGTCAGAGGCAGTATGCCTCTAAATACCTGTTACTGGGAACCACAAGTGGGGAGAGTGCTGCTGCACTCTCAGGTCCTGCTGGCAGGTCTCCCATTGCAGCATCTGGTTGGCCAATCTGAGAACAGGATGCTGGACTAGAGGCCTGCTTCAGCCTGATCCAATAGGGATATTCTTATGGTTTTATGAAAAGCTAGTCAGGGGAGGGAACTACAGGCACTTAATCCTGGAGAGCCAATTCCCGCTTCTGCCCTCCAGAGAGCTCCCAGGTCTGCTTCTCTCCCCTCAGTTTGTACAACCTGCCACTGAGGGCAGCCACCAGGCTCTCCAAACAGGCAATAATGTCCCCTCTGTCATGTACAGAGGCAACCTTGGTAAGGCTCATGTTAGGCCAGTTCTGGTAACAAACATTTCAGAAGTCCATAAATTACTCTCAAAAAGCACTTCACTTTCTCCTTTCTAATCTTCTTCTCAGAGTGGTTTCAGACAGCTATGTCAGCTGAAATGCCATCAAATCTGCATAAGTACACATGTGTGCTGCAATTTTATAGGAGCAGGAAAAAGAGGGAAGAGTGCAGAATGTAATAGCGCTGCAGAATTTCACTTCCTAAAAACCTCCGTTAAAAACAGTTAAGTTCCTAGCCTTTATGGCTGCAAACACTTGCTAAGCAATGCCAGTTTGGACAGAGCACAATATTTCAGTGGTCTGCCTATCCCTTGCTCTTCTCTGTAACTTAGAAGTAGTAGAATAAATTATGCAAAATAATTTTAAAAATCACAGAATAAATTATGCAAATATGCTCAATTTGCCTCATTCATAGCTTTCCTTAGCACACAATTTGAATAGCATGGACACAGAATTATATAGATTAAAGCAGTACCCACAGGTTTTTGGAATCTCTGCCACTCAACTTTGGAGGATTTTTTATTGTTATTACTCGCAAGCTGAATTACTGGCACGTTTTCCTCCATACCTTGATTGAAATTTGGTTCCCACTAGGGAACAAACAGAATGGCTCTGTGGGCAGATCAAACTGTCAGGTTGCCATCCCTGCTTCAGATCTGAAGCTGTTAGGGTAGGGATTTGTCTGCCTTTAACCTTTTTTCACAGTATAATTTTAAGCAACAATCATTCTATTAAGAAGAAGATTGATTCCAGGTAGGAACTGGTATCGCAGTATCCATACAGCCATGTTGCTTAGGCACCAGCTTGCAAATTTGTTACAGTGAGCTGCCAGCATCACAGCTGAAAGGCCAGAGGGAGGGCAAAAGCATCCTTGACATCTTGAGGCAATGTTTCTGAGCTGCTTCCACGCCAGGTGACAGAAGGCCAGCCATGAGACACCTGATCCACCACTAAAGGTGCCCCTCTGAACACCTCCTCGAGCAGAGAGCTTGAAGCAGTGGGTGAGGGAAGGACAATTTCCTTCACTAACAAAGGCGCAGAAACTTTACTAACAAGAAAAAGCTGCTGCTCAACTCTTTGGAAAAGTGTGTGTGTGTGTTTATCCAAGGTAAGCTACTCCTGGTATAAATTTCACAAAGTTAAGCTTAGACATTTGTGGGGACTGTTGCATCTGTTTTGTGTTACAAGTTCTTCTTAGTTTGAGACCAAGTCAATTGGCTTCCGCTGTTTGCATTCTGCTCAGCCCCATGTCAGCCCTCCAAACAACAAAGGCGCTATAAGGAGCCCACAAAACAGTTACATCTGTCCATCTCATCTCCTGTGCACCAGATGGAACAGGATACAGTTCTGTCCCTCTCTTCGTTCCTAGTGTTATATGCATCCCCCCTTTCTTTCAAGATTACACCCCCCAAAAAATAAAAAAAAATCTGATGACTGGAAACAAATTCATTCAAGCAGCAAAGCAGTCCTAACAGAAGAACTGACAAAACATCTTACAGCTTTAATCCTCACTTTTTTCAATTAACAGATGGATGCATCACAGTCATCCGTAAACAATAAGAAAAGAAGTAATTTCTTTAATGCACACCTGGGAAATAGATGTGTAATCGAGGTTTGTACATTAAAAGGAATAATACAATTTAATTATTACAGCTATTTAAAGTCATCCAGAAGAAAAGCTGGAGTTGGGTAGAATAATTTGTTTGAAGTCCTCCCACTGCTTAAATCAGAGTGTTCCAGCTTTTGAGGAGATAGGGATGTGGCAACCGGCAAGCTGGACTTATCAAAAGCAATACCTTTAAAGCCCTTTTACGTATTTGCCATTCTGTACTTTAGGAGGTTAAGTGATCCAAATACATTTGCTAGAAAAATGTAAAGTGAATCAATGATTGCAAAAGAAAGAAAAAATAGTATCTGCAGTATTCACAATTCAAGATGACACATATTCCTGCTTAGAGTGCAGGAAATCTTTCCTCTTTAAGCAGAAAGGTGAAGGCAATGGAGTGCCAGCAATGACATCGTTCCTGCAAAGGGGGAACCTGCGCTCAAGGCATTTGGCAAAACCAACGAACCACCTTCATCTGTGGTGCAGGCAGGGTCCCAGAATGGCAGAGGCCAGTCTCTATCATTTGGACTAGCATTTGAGCACACCCAACCTGTGCACATGCCCAAGCACCATTAAAAGTCACATAACCTCTATTCTCAAGATGCCTGGAACACTGAACTATCAGAGATAGGAATGGAATGAGGGCATGCACTAGAATAATGTTCCCCAACCTGGTGCCCTCCAGCTGTTTAGGACTATAACTCCCATCAGCATCAGCCAGAGGATGGCTGCACCTGAGCATGAACACCAGAAGGCAGGAACAACTGTTACAGCTGACCAGCCAAGAGCAAAAAGGCTAATCCACAGGCTTTATGCTGCCGGCCACTTGCAGAGGCTGATCTCTCACACTTCTGTTCTCTTTAGTACCTAAAGAGCACCAAAAAAGCTTACCAGGAAAGCACTCACTTAGCCTGTGAGGTTTCCTATCAAGGTCCTAGAGACTCTTTAACAGCAGCAAGCCAAGAATTACAATCCACACCCACCCTCTTGCCTTCCTACATGGCCACAGCCCACATGTGGCATTTACCCCTACCCAAGAGCTTCAAAAGAATCAACCAAGAATCATTGGGTTAATGTTCTATTATTTCTGTATCACTTTCCCCATTATTTTTACAACTCCGAGTTACACTGAAGAAGCGGACAGGGCCTTCATGGTGGAGCACAGAACTGAACCCAAATCCCCCCAAATTAGATGGATTTCTCATGAACCACACATGCTCCTTCTCTGCACACCCAAGCCCCCTGTGCACATGGGGCTTCCCATTTGTTATGGGGTACACTCACAGAGCTGCCTCATCTGTCAAAGGGAATGAGTTGACCTTGCAGGCACAGGAGTTTGGTATGTGCACTTTAGCTTTCTATATTACTATTCCTCATGTCACATTAAAAAAAACACAGTTTCCTTATTTCCATATCTGTTTACTAAGAAAGACTTAAGACACCTAACAGTAGAAGTAACAGCACCCGAACTAAAAACTGCAGACAAAATTGAGCAGCCCACTAAAGGCTATTTGTCTGCAACAGAAGTATCTGCATACATTTACTTACCGCCATATAAGCATTTGTCCCGACATACGTCTTGGCTATGGAATTCACCAGCTATCAGACAAAACAGCCTGTTAGAGCCATATAAAGATAATGTGGGAATAAAACGGGCAATTATTCCTCATTTAACCTACAATCATTCCATGTATAAATCAGCTAAAAATTATATAAAGTGTGTATGTGTGTGTGAGGAAACAAATTTGCCTGTGAAGGCATTAAAAATGATTAAATCTCTCTTTCCTTTTGAACAAGAGCCCTAATTTAAAACAACCACAGTATTTCACTTTATGGCAGATAACCTTAAAGACAATTCTCTTTTAAACAGGATGCTTAGAGATTTTAGTGCTCCACCAACCAGTTGGATATAAATAGTCAATTGGAAGGAGGGTTTTATTTTATTTTATTTTCAGCACATCCAGTCAGGCGTCCTCCTCCCCCCACTGTCAGCTGGCTCAAGATGTGAATAAAGCCACCTTCATTATCAGGCTGGAATGAACACTAAATATGCTGGAGGGACAACAGACTTTGACAACGTATAATACAGCAGTGACCTTCTCTTTGGTCCTCATGTTTGGCTGGGAGGAAAGGTGGCTGCAATTCAATTCAACATTGCAGCAAGCTCATGGGTCAGTATCACAGAGGTTCTCAAGGGAAGCCCAAAATGGAAATTAATTAAAATTTGTGCTGCACATTGTTGAAGCCCACCACCATTGTTGCTCCCAATATTAATTTTTACTGTGGGCCAGTTGGGCTCCCCAGGCGATCCTCCCGCTCTGCCCTCCCTTTTGTTTGATCCAAACGCTTTCAGAGCCAAGCTGCATATCAATGAAGTTTGCTATTCGTAAGTAGTAATTACAATATCAGCAGTTTTTACTGTCATTAAACAATGAACAATCATATTCTGATGAAGAAAAGTCACCAGGAGATTAAAAAAAAAAGGGATGAATCCCCCATTCCCAGCAGAGCCAAGCTTGCTTGCAAGGGGCTCTGCTTGTCTTGTGGCCAGTCTGGAAAACACAAGCTAACAGGAGGGATGTAGATGAAAGGGCAGAAGAAATGAAGGTACCTGTGTGCTGACCCCAAAGTCACATAACTTGACTTGGCCTCTTGTGTTCACCAACATATTTGAGGGCTTCACATCTGTAAGGGAACAGCAACACTTGATAAGGAAGCAAAGCCATACAGCATTCACACTTCATTAAATATAGCTTACTATATATAGCTTATCATTTATAAAGAGACATAAAAGTTTTCTGGCTGCTGTACTAAGTTTATTTGAAACGCACACACATCTGTGCTTGCAGGCTTAGGGCTCATCCACACTCATATGGGACTCATATTTTGATCGTATTATGTACCAATTAATGTCTAAGAGCTTTTCTTGTTGTTCTGAGGCTACGCCTTGCAAAAAACAACAACACCCAACCCAATCTTATCTGCTGAGTCAGACCTTATAATTTGCATTAGTCACTGGACCCAGTTTCCCCCTTGAACCCACTCACATGTGCATTTGGCTTTCTGAAGCTTGCCCAGAAGGTAAATCAGCTCTCAGGCTGAAAAAAGTCCCCACCTCTAAGTTAAACGCATGGCATGGAGGACTGCAGTTGTGCTGGGGGTTGAGGTTTACATTCTTCAAAAATATCCCAAATAGGAGCTATAAGCTCTTTGGTAGGGTGCGTGTTTTGCCATCTCTGCTCTAGAGTGAGATTTCTCTAAATCTTCAAAACAGACAGATAGTGGAAACAATTTCCAGGGGAGAAGCATTAATCAACAGAGAGTATTGTGGTACCTTAAAAGACTAATACATTGCCACAATAAAAATTGCTAGCCTTTTAGGTGCGACAAGACTCTTCATTAATTGCGGAAAACCAACCAGGCAACATAGTATCTACCACAATTTTTATTGGAATTTTTTAAAAAATGAACCTTTATTTCTTCAAGAAAATAAATAAACCTAGGGAAAGCAGTGTGTGTGTGTGTGTGTGCGCGCGCGCAATGTTCTCCCAAAGCATCTGTTTTGTGATTAATACTTCCATTTTGAATGTGGAAGAATTTAAACAAGAGCCAAAATGGAACATTATGTGCCCATCATCACAAGTGTTTCCTTAATACCAATTATTTATATGAGACAAGCCTTATGGAGGATGAACAGATGCCTTTTCATTCCACCTCCATCTGAGCTATTTTTTACCAGGCTACTGGATAAATGGCATGTGGGCAACTCTTTTCTAGCTGTTACAAAAATGTCAAGGAGAGGGTCAAGAAGTTGAATGCAGTTGCCTTATTCAATACCAAATAGATATTTTAAAAATCCATTTTATTCAAAATATTTTTTAAAAACAAAAGCCACCCTCTCCTCTTGAATTGCATGCAAGCATTAGAGTGCAGAATTCCAAAGTTCAAGGAAACTGAGAAATACAAAACCCTGTTTGAGATGTGAATTGCTAAGAGATAATTATCAGCAGCAACACATATCTACATATACATATGAATGTATGTTTCACCACCCCCTGTGCATTAGCAGTAACAGCAGACAAATTGTTGCTGCTGTTCTGACCCTGGTCGCCTGCTCCCTCTGGAGGTTGCTGGCTATTCTAAGAGCTCAAGGGTGGGTTCACAAATTAGCTCATTTAAAGACTGGATGGCTGCATCAGTAGGATTATCTCTGCTCTGCAAAATCTGCAGTTTGAGGGTTCACACTGGATAGTTTTCATTATGCATATCAGCCACTGATGGCAGATTGGGGTGCTTCAGTTGAAAAGGCCAAGCTGAAACCTCAGCAAGAGAAGTTTGTCACCATGGGATGCATCTGCCATACTTCTCACCTGTACATCAGGTGGGACATCCATTTGGGAGGTGCTGGTGATGGTCTTTACCCAGAAGGAGCCAATCAGCTCCAAATCAGGGAACAACGAACTACAAGACTGGGGCCTGAACAGCTGTTGTGAGGTGCCAAATCACAACTCTATGGCTCACATACTACTCTGAGAAATTATTCTTGATGGGTGCATGGCCAGAGAAATATCAAAATGTAAACTGCTTTTCATTTGCTTTGGATGATATTTATAATATTTCAGCCATCATCAGCTATTTCCACTCCCACAATTTTCAGCTATGTTCCAAAACCCTGAATCCCATCCCAGACTGTGCTTATATGCACCAAGCCAAATGTTAACTTTATGCAACAGATGAAGTAGGTTGCTCCCTTAAAAAACCCCTCCATTCTACCAGAAACCTGTTAATCTTGAATACATCATAGTGATTCCTTTTATGAAACTAAACAATTATATGCACTGGAAAAATGCAAAAACAAATCCACAACTCACCTCTATGTAAAATTTTTAAACTCCATAAATATGTAAGGCCTTTAACAACCTGCAAACAGGAGAGAGAAAGGAATGCTTGAAGGTATGGATTTTCATTTTCTAGAGTTGAAACTGGAATCTACCATGATATAAAAATCACAACCAAAAGAAGTCAGATTTTGGCCACCTTTGAGGAAATGTATCAATGTGTACTTTATATATTTTCCCTCCCTTTGAGGATCAAAATTATCAGCCACTAATAGCTTTTTAAAAGTTAATCACCTTTGCTATATCTTGTGGTAGTACATTCCAAGCTTTACTGGAATTCCTGTAATGGAGTGTGAAGAAGCCACAGAAAAGTGGCCCTTGTGTGATCGATATTTATGCACACCCTGTAATAAAAAGCATCTCAAAGCACATGCCTAGAAAAAATGCATTTCTTCTTGTCTTTCTATATAGAGCCAATCCAATCAATAGCTAAGGAATTTAAACGGACAGGGTGTGGAACTTCTTACTTCCTTAGCCCTGTAAATTTCATTCCTAAATCTGTACCATTGCTTTCAAATACCTTGCAAATTTTATAAAGCCTTGTCTAGAATGACACCCTAAAAACCTGATTTTTTTGTTGCCTCCTTTCTGTTGGGTCAGCATTTTAACATGGAACATCTTTCTTGCAAAATTCTGCTAGCTATTCTACACATTTGCATTCATCTTCCTGATTCAAATGTGCCGCTGACAAAGTCTCAAAAACAACAAAATTTTAATTCTTAGAACTAATAAAAGTTGCTTCCTTAGAATTCTGAAAATCTTTTATTTTAAAAAGTGAATAAGGGACTAGTCCTTATGGCAGAAGACGAATACTAGAAACTGTCCACATGTTTTCAAGCTGAGTGTACACAAAACTACAGCAGAAATGGGGTACAGTCGGGAGGGAAATCAGTTATATCCTGTCCTATAAGAGGTGGCTAAGCATCTTTGTTTTTCACTGTACATATACTGTAACAACACGTCAAGGAGTGGAGGCTACACTAAATGTAAATGCATATTGCTGTTCATTTTTGAATTTTTAATTTTGGATTTTTAATTAATAATAATAATATTTTACATCCAGGGTGACAAAAAAACCAAATATTAGTTCATTAAGAGCTTTTGTACCAAAGCATGTCTGCTGAATAAATACTTATAAAAAGCACACTCTTAACCAAGCAGATTTTTCATTTCAACTTTTTCTTTTTTTAAAAAAAGAACATTTCACAACTACAGATCCAACAATGCCCTGTAACCCTTTGTACATTGATCAGGAATCACAGCTATTCATTTACACTGAATAAAAGGCCATTTCCCGGTTCAGAATGTAGACGCAAGGTATTGAGCATTATATCAAAGAGATGGTGGCATAGAATTCATTTTGACTGAATACTCCAGAAGATATTGTGATATTCAGTAAAGCAGCATTTGACAACAATGACTTGACAAAGCCTTGACACAAATAGTAGTTAGATCGGCCATCAATCACTCACTCTCTTGACAGCTTAAGTGCACATCTTTTGCAGGGGGAAAAAAAGCTTCAATCAACATTAGCACTCAAAATACAGTGCATTGTGTTATTGCTTCGGGAATGGAAATAAAAATAAAAATGTGAAGTTACGAGCAAAAGGCAGTCTGGGAATATTTGGTAGCCCTGTCTTAGCTTTGGTACAGCACTGGCCTTGTCTTCTGGTTGCAACTGAAAGATTGTTTTTAAGTCTAGCACCAAGAACTAACAGGTGGAAAGGCTGTGTACGGTGGATTCCATCCATGTTTTACAGATCAGGAGCAAGACCATCACATTCACTTGTGCAAATTCAGTTCAAGTTTTTCTTAAACTGAATTTGTTAAAGAAAGGATGCAGTTGAATATAAGGAATTGGGACAAGGGACAGAAAAACACACAAAAATATATTGGCAAGTTGATACTTAATCGTGACCCCTTAAAGGCACCAGCAAGACATTTGATCTGATCCAACTGGAGAGCTTCTGCAATCATATCCCCAGCTAAAGGGGAAATCCTGTATCTGGACAGACACTACACATGCAGTTCCCCTCCCCAATCCAAAACCGTGGTAGCTCTGGTTAAGAACTTAATGCGTTCTGGAGGTCCATTCTTAACCTGAAACTGTTCTTAACCTGAAGCACCACTTTAGCTAATGGGGCCTCCAGCTGCTGACATGCCGCTGCCGCATGATTTCTGTTCTCATCCTGAAGCAAAATTCTTAACCCGAGGTACTATTTCTGGGTTAGCGGAGTCTGTAACCTGAAGCGTCTGTAACCTGAAGCGTCTGTAACCCAAGGTACCGCTGTAGTCAGGAGTTCAGGAGTAGCAGGAGTAGCATAATTCATAACACACACACTCTTTCTCCACCTTCTCTGCTGAATGGCTGAGGTTTTTTTAAGGTTCTTATCACATAGCCCTGGCTGCCCCATGCACACCTCCAGACTTGCAGGCTCACCTGCACAAGTCTTCCCTGGTGCCTCCAGGGTCCTGTACCCCAATGCTGCTGAAATTAATCGTGAAAGTAGCATTTATTGGAGATAGTAAACTAGATTGTGGTGTGTGCTAGGTTGAGTGAGGGGTGGAATGCACCAATTTCGCCTATTTGCAGATGTTTCCATGGACCCAAAAGGGTTGGACTGAACTAGAGACTTAAGATTTCTTAGATCAATCACTCAAAGTCAGGTTTTCAGAAATCATGCAAAAATTTGATTTTAGTTTGGCCATGAATCCACTGCGTGGCCTTGGACACAGCACATGTTCCTTTTCTGGAAAAACTGTTTGAAGATGCTACTCCAGAATGCTTGTTGTCAGGCTAAATGCCTAGGAGGAGAAAGTATTTGTAATTTACAGTGAACTATAGAAATGAATGTTATTTAATAAGATCGTGCAAATCCTCTGGACTGCAAAAGTGAAACACTTTTACTCTCACCAAAGCAGTATGTGCATGTGTGTGTGTTAGAAGCGAACCATGCCGAGTCTGAAAAAACAAGCCCATCTGCAAGTGCTCCAAAGCGATAGCATCAGATTAAAAGATGCTCTTTGCACATGCAGCTAAAGTGGAGAGAATGAAGCTGAGCTGTGAATTACAATGAAAGGAGCCTAAATAGCTGCCTGCATCAGATTAAAGGATTTCAGTTGTCAGCTTGATGTATAATGAGTGTGGAAAACAGGCATTTAATTAAATGGTACATTTTAGAATAACTTTTTGTTCTGCTTTAAACCACTTAAATTATCAAAGCCTGCTTCAGATTTAGCAATTGTTCAGCAGCACCCTACCCCATGACACCTCCCTTCCAACTGGTCTTGGCTGCGGCTTTAAAATTATGATACATTCTCTTCTTAGACTTGGAGAATTCAGCTCATTATCCCCAGCATGGCGTGAAGGGATAAGATCTAATACTAGTGCAACAACTATGCTGAAGCAGCTTCTGGATGGATCATGGAGAGAAGACTATCTGGGACCTTCATGTACACCACACTAATGGATGGAGCAAACAGAATTATTATTGATCTTCTGGGGGAATTAGGTCCTATATATTGGGGTACCTGTATGTTATATGCCTATACGTTGTGCAAGTGCATAACTTAATATTAGGGACTACTCACTTTAGGAAAAAAGAAAAGAAAAAGAAAGAGGGCAAAGGTTTATAGAATTACGAACCATGGCAAAAGGGTGGATAGAGCAGAACTTTTCTCCTTCTGTGCTAACAGTTTAATATGGGGTCACCCAATGGGGCCATACATTAAAGACTCACAGGAGGCAGGGCCTTCTTTATATACTGCTTAATAAACTCAAATAATTTCCTACCATGAGATGGTAGCTGCTGGCTTAGATAGCTTTAAGAAGGATTATGGATTCATGGAAAATGAGTCTATCAAGGGCAGCCTTCTGCAAGCTGCTGGACTACAGATGTTTTGTACTACAGCTCTCAAGAGCTTCAGCCAGTATGATGAGTGGGGGGTGATGGGAGTTATAGCTCAAAATATCTGGGGGGCACCAGATTTAGGAAGGCTATCAAGGGCCATTAGCCATGGCAGCTACATGGCAACCTCTGCATATACTGTATTTTTCTGTTTATAAGACTAGGGTTTTTTTAACAAAAAAATTGGGTTTGAAATTGGCTCATCTTATTCACGGGTAGTGCTGAGGGGTGTTTTCTTAATTTGGAGTCCCCCAAAATAGGGGACGTCTTATACATGGGGGCATCTTATACACGGAAAAATACAGTAACTCTGAATGCTGGTGATAAACAGTATGAATTTGCACAGAAAACTAAGGAAATACAAAAAGGGCTGTTGAGATCAATAGTGGTTTTGCTATGAAGAGACAAAACAAATATGGGAGGTAGAATTGCATAACACCTTTCACAAATACCCAATAGAAATGTATGTTAATTGATGGTATAAAGTTGATTATGCCCTACACTGGGGGATATTGTTGCACTCCGACTCCCATCAGTCACAGCCAGCATGCTCATCGGTCAGGAAAGATGGGCATTGTAGTCCAACAACATCTGGAGGACCCCATCTTGGTCACCCTGTCCTAAACTCTGTAATGTGAGTTATTTACTTTTTATAAAGTCAATCTGATATACTACCTACCCCCCCCCCGGAAACTGAATACAATCAACAGTGCAAATACATGCAGATGAAGAAGAAGAGTTTGGATTTGATATCCCGCCTTTCACTTCCTTTAAGGAGTCTCAAAGCGGCTAACATTCTCCTTTCCCTTCCTCCCCCACAACAAACACTCTGTGAGGTGAGTGGGGCTGAGAGACTTCAAAGAAGCGTGACTGGCCCAAGGTCACCCAGCAGTTGCATGTGGAGGAGCGGAGACGTGAACCTGGTTCCCCAGATTACGAGACTACCGCTCTTAACCACTACACCACACTGGCTCTCAAGTGTGTTTCACTTGACAAAAACTTCCTGGTAAGCATGTAATAAGATACAAGTGAAATGGAATGCAACATTAGTTTCAAAATATATAACAGGATTGCTATTAGGCTGTTCGAAAAACATGTGGTTTTTATGTGGCTTTTAGAATTTGTTTAGAGTACTCCAACATTATCAAAAACTGAAATTGAACTTTAATGGCAATTTCCAGACATCTCTATGAAAACAACTTTCAATTGATGAAACTGACAAAATTAAAGAGACTACAGTACGCCAACATGAGAATTAATAATTTAGAAACTTTGTAGGGTGTTTTCTTATAAGCAGACTTCTTAGGCTCCAACAAATTACAAACCAAACTTATTTGCGATTCTCCAACACATACTAGAAAAGGAAGAGGTTTTTCCCACCCCCGTTTTTAGAGGGGAAGTTGTGCAGTCTGTTGCACCAAAAACAACCAAGGGTCTTGGGGCCTGTTGAAGACTAACAGATTTTATCATGGCAAAAGCTTTTGTGGACTGAAGTCCAGAATGAAGTTAATGCTACTCCTCAAAAGTTCACACCATAATAAATTTGTTAGCTATCAAGGTGCACCATGACTCTCACTCTTCCCCCACTCCTCATCTTCCTATGTTATTTATATCTACAAATATCAGCTGTGATATATATTTAAGTATTTAACACTATTATATTAAAAATAGAACCCCAAAGTACTCACTGCTACGGCTATTCTTCCCAGTACGTGTTCTGGAATTTTCCTGTAGACATCCAAAGAGCCCCCTGCAGGAACAAACAAAACATAGTTAATACCAAATAAAACAGAGAGGAACTTGCTTGTAAAGATATTGACTCAGAAGAAAGGATTAGCCTGTAATAAGCAAAGTGAGGTCCCCCTTGTTCACCTACAGGGCTGGCCCAAGCCACTGCATCATCTGAGAGGAAAGCACAATCCTGGAGTAGTGCTCCAGAGTTCTTTTGTGATATTGCCAGGGATAGGGAGGAAATATCCTGCTATCAAAATCAATTGCTTGACTCACCTGCTCAGGTGCATCTGCCTTGCTCATGTGATACATTTTTAATTGGATGAACAATGGGGTTAGATTGCTAAGGAAACCCAGGCGAAAAAATCTCTGAAACTCTTTAATCCTGCCATGCCCAACCCACTACTGCTTGCTGAAAACACACAGGACAATGGGTGAGCTAATAGGCTTATTTAAAGGAAAATCTGTGCTGGCGACTGAAACATTAAAAGCGGGAACAGCTGTTTTGTCAGTAAAGACAGATTGCATGGAAGTTGAAAATATCAAGCAACAGATAAAGCAGCATTTACTTCTGTTCTATTTAAATTTTCAATAAAAAGTCAATGCAGCTCCATTGAGGAAAATGTAACATACTTAACATCAAGTAATCATGACTCTCGCCTGCCTGATGTGTTAAGGCTTGTGAAAGGTTATTATTTTTAAAATACCTCCTAAAAAAAAGAGGAAAAGACATCTTGCACCATCTGTACTAGGAATCGCTTTGTGCTTCTTTAGGATGTGCACAAATGTTCAAATTGATTTCCCAATTACATTAAACAAAAAACAAAAAACAGTTGAGGCTTTTCAAGAATATGCAAGCACCACTCACCATCCATGAATTCAGTACAAAGGGAAATCCTGTTTTCTACAAAAAAAGCACCATAAAATCCTATGATATAGGACGAATCACACTGCAGATGAAGAAAGAGAGAAAAATGCTGTCAATGTTGAAGACACACTATACATAGAATCGAAATGTAAATGCTAGAAAATTATACCTTGTAAAGAATTTCTAACTCCGACATAATCTGCTTTTGAAGTTCCAGTGTAATATCTAAAGGGATCACCTGAAAGTAAGCATCAGAACATTATATCTCATTACATAATGCATGTGAACACTGTCAACAAACCTATATATTTTTCAGGTGGCACGGAAAACTCCTGCTCAAGTCAACTGGCTACCACCAACAGACTGCCAGTTTGTTGCCAACAGAATAGGATATTTTAAGTGAAGATCAACACCTGTAAAGACCTTGGCTACCAGTAACTAAAGCTCACACCTAATAAGTTACCGGCCAGTGTTGCCCGTGTTATCCCTGACCATCCTTCAAGGCACCTCAGGGTGGCACACTGGTTGAAAACCAGGCAACTACCAAGTCAGTTTTATCTGACCCTGGGAGTGGCAACACATTTTAAATAAAATTATGGTGTGTTCTGGAGCTCCCTACCATTACATATCAGATAGGTACCATATTTATTGTCTTTCTGGTGTCTACTGAAGTTTTTCATTTTCCAACAAACCTTTTAGGTAGAGATTTTTATTTAGATTTATGTATTGGATGTGAAATTGTTTTTACATATGTTTTTATTATTGAAATTTTTATCGTTAATTGCTTTAGGATGTTTCATGGAAAGTGATTAATAAATTAAAATATAATAATAATAATAATAATAATAATAATAATATACACTCCCGAGGATTTTGGTACTTGGTTGAGACTCAATAATATTTTGCAGGATTAACACAACCAACAATACATGAGGTTGGCAATGGAAAGCAACATGGCCTCTGATTTAAAAACAAAACAAAACACCACACACACAAAAAGAACCCATTTCTAAACCTACATTTTACAGTATTGATGTCTGTCTAAACAGAGAAAAAAGAGCATAACCAGTTTCTATCAAGAATTTGCTTTAGGGTTATTTATAAAAGCTCTCACTAAACTAAATTGTAACTGTAATAGAAAGGCTGCCAAGAGAACATTTAACACATTTCTCCAGATCAATAGTCATTTGCCAACAATATTCACTTACATTTTTTTTCCAGGGTGGAAAGCTTAAAACAAAGTAACCTGCTGGAACACTGTATCAATTTTGCCCATTAAAACAACAACAAAATTTAACCCTCTATCATATCTAAAAGAGATTGCTTTTCCAATTGTTAAAACCCTGCTCGAAACCCAGCTTCCCCCATTGCAAAAGCTTTAGCCGAATATTGACTGGATTCGATGTCACGGATGGCAAATGCTGCATCAGCCAAGACGTGAAATGAAGAAAGTCCCTGAGCTGCTGTGAATTACAGGCACATTGATTTTTAAGAATGGAAGGGTCTTAGCCCTCCTTCACACAAAATGGCTACCACATGGCTTTTACTCAACATTGCATTAATGCTGCCAATTGCTCCAGGCCGCAATGTGTTCACGAGCAAAGGCTTGTCGCAGAGATCGGCCACTATGACACCATCTCATGCCACACCACTGAAAAACTGTGGTCACGGCATGCCACATGAAACATCCACTATGCAATTTTAAGGAGTTTCCGTTTTCTCCAAAGTAAGTTCAAAACAGTAATCATGGTACATTCACCACTGTGGACTTAGCCAGAATTATTTTAGGACAGAGGCAAGTAAACGTTTTCTGGAAAGGGTTGCATTTCCTTAGGGGTCACATGCCAGCAGTGGGCAGGACCAGGGCTCAAGGGGGGCAGGGTCAAATTCTCTTCTTTCTTTGTCACCTCTGTCACCATCTTCTCTTTCTCTCTGCAAGGGAAGATGTTCTTGCAAGAGGTCTGAACCGATTGCTTACAGAGGACTTCCCCCCGCCTCTGTTTTGGCTTTCCTCCCCATTTTGGTCTTGCTCTGCCTTCCTTCTTTCCTTCTAGTTTCCCCACTGGAAGTAAGCCTGAGGACCACACGCAGCCTACTTAGAGGATGCTAGGAAACTGCAGGAGATCCAGATTGTGGCTTGATTTGATATTGAATCAGTCATGCATAAACCCACCCATTTCAACATGGCACAAGTTCCTCTCAACTCCCCAAGGCTCACTAAAAGTAAACCTTTGGAATGCCCTCCCCAAAGAGGCCCACCTGGAGAACTCACAGCTATCATTTAGCCACCAGCTTTTAAAAAATGCTAATGTAAACATGTAACTTAGAGCAGTTTGATTTTACCACCTATTAAAATGAGCTAGTTTGCACACATTATTACCTAAATTGTACTTCTTGTTTCTGACTACTCTCTTGGCTGCCCTGAGATACAAAATTATGTTGAAGGTGCAGGATATAAAATATGTCAGCAAACAGGCAGCCAGGATTTTCCAGTTGGATCACTGACTCAAAATAAAAACCAAACCCCCCTTACCCAGGAGTAAGCTTTTTTGAATTCAGTAGGAATTACTTCTGGGTAGACATGTTTAGAATTGCACTGTAACTCTGGGCCCTAAATCACCTACAGTGGTGCCTCGCAAGACGAAATTAATCCGTTCCGCGAGTCTCTTTGTCTTGCGGTTTTTTCGTCTTGCGAAGCACGGCTATTAGCGGCTTAGCGGCTATTAGCGGCTTAGCGGCTATTAACGGCTTAGCGGCTTTAAGAAAAAGGAAACAAACTTGCAAGAACTCACAAGACGTTTCGTCTTGCGAAGCAAGCCCATAGGGAAATTCGTCTTGCGGAACGACTCAAAAAACGGAAAACCCTTTCGTCTAGCGAGTTTTTCGTCTTGCGAGGCATTCGTCTTGCGGGGCACCACTGTACATGATTTTTTAAAACATGATTTTAGTTACTCTAAATACAGAAATGGACAAAGGGTATTGAATACTGGGACCTGCATTTGTATTCTGGCCCCATACATTTTATTAATTTATTTGAGCGGAAGTGTGCCAAGAAAAGGGGTGGTAAGGAAGGAAAGGGGTCAGGGGGCATGTTCATACAGTTCGAGTGTAACCCATTTCCCAATTTAAAATGGGAAACGTGACTCCCAGCCCTAAAATGATTGCCCCGCCTTGTGTTAAATAACAGCAGCAACAGAAATAGCAATCAAGTTCCTATCTACAATGGCTTTGACACGGAACACTGCAAGGGGAAAGGGTTAACCCTATGAGAAATACCTGAGCCCATTTTCTCCACTTCTCTCCTACACCTCCAGGACAAATAAGGATGAGTTGTCAAGTTAAATACAAGCAGTCAAGTGACTGAATTATAATTTACTCGGTGCTCAATTTAAATTAGTGAGAGGCTATTAAAATATACAGTATAGCGATGGCAATTCATCACCGGCTGTCATGGATGACTTCATCTATTTGCTGGAATGGTGTGCACGCCACTAAAGGGAACGAGAGCAAAATCACAGGTCAAATTAAGCTGCAACTCCATTTTAATTCACTTATTTAATCTGTGGTGACATAATTGTCTTTTACAGTATGTACAACTCAGAGGAAATTTGGGAGTACGATAGTCAGTATACAAATGATTAATCAAATGGACCATTTAAATGCTAGGTTAAGAGCAAGGAAACACTGGAGTTGCAGAACAGCACACAGCCTCCTCACACAGAAGGCAAGGGGAGGGATGCTACCTCCTCAGTCGTGTGGCTTCCCGCAGGAGGTAGGAAGGTTCAGAGGGCACGTTCCACAGGCATCAACTGATAGGAAACCACAAAGCAGGAGTTTCTTGCATATTTAATTCATATAGATTTTGCCTCTTTTTTTTAAGTAAACAGAAAAAGTTTTGAAGTGGGAGGGGGAGTATAAACTGCTGGCACCCCATTTTTTCAAACTCTTTCCCCTCTTTCCACAAAGCAAGGCTCAATATATTTTCATACCCGAATCAACAAGTCACATGGCATTCTTATGCCCAGCCTAAGATCCTGCAGCCTCAACTTGGTTTAGCTGCCAAAGTGCCAGAGGCATCTTGTTCTCTGAGCCACCATGAGGACTTGTCCGAGGACAGAGCTGCTGGCCCCTTCTCTGCTGCATGTAGATGCTGCTCCGATAAGCAGTCAGGTGACATAGGAGGCCAATGAGATTCCTTCTGGCCCTGTACCCTGAAACTACTGCCTGAGCAACTTGCCATTCAGGTAAAAGATCAAGTGTCTCTCAGATGGCCCACATCTGCTCACCAGCTGGCCAGCTAATCTGCTCACCAGCTCACTGGCATCCTGGCTTGAGTGGTTGTCTTGTCAGTGTTTATATTATTATTATATTTAAACCCCACCTCTTCTCTTAGAACCCCTCAATGCAAATATTATGGCTCCTCTCTTTCCTTCCCTTCCCATTTTATCACCACAGCCCTGTGAAGAAAGTTAAGATTATGACATGGGGACTGGCCCATTGTCTTCTAGTGAGCTTCCTGCCTGAGTTGCAGACTTGAATCTGGTTCGCCCAGTCCTTAACCAATATACCCCACTGGCTCTCACACTGGTCCACACCTGCTTTGCTTCCAAACCACCAGTCTTCACACTCACATGAACGGCTGTGATTATCCTTAACCTCTTAAGTAGCTACAGCTGTGCAAGAAAGTGATAAAGCTGTGTCGGTGCTTCAGTCATAAACCTTGATTTACTGGCACCGAAAGTATTGGGATCAGACACTTATTATTTTATTCCCATAATATATTGATTTAACAAGAAACACATTCACACAAAAAGTATACAGTAGATAAAAACAATTTCAAGTCCAATGCAGATACAGGTTGGGATAATAATCTCCATGTAAGGCTTGCTGAAAAATGACACCTGTTCTGATATGTAAGGGGTGAGTGTGTTTGCACAAATCAGGGCAATATTTGCTGTCAAAGCCCTCATTATTTAACAGAAGAATCAGGCTTATTTTTCCCAACCAGGAAGTGGTAGATTCCAAAAAGGGAATTCAGTGCAATTTGTCTAACACTGCCTTCGCCAACCTGGTGCCACCTCCCCCACCCCAAGATGTTTTGGACTTCAGCAGTTGTGCTGGCAGGGGCCGATGGAACCTGTAATCCAAAGCATGGGGGGTTTGAATTTTGCCAGGTCAGCAGCAACTTAAGTTTAGGAAGAATTTGTTGTTCTCCCAGAGTATGCTGATGCCTTAATGGTGGAAGACAGGAGGTCTCTGAGTGGAAGCAGGAAAGGAAGACCCATTTCAGAAGGAAGATGAAGAAAGCACTTGAAAACATATTCTAGGAATGCTGAAGGCTTCAGCAACAGAATGGACAAGCTGGGCCAGTGTGGTTGGTGCACCACCAGTATCTGAGATTTTCTAACTGACAGTTTCCAGTTCATCGGTACACATTACTTTTCCAATGCATGCAAATACTTCCCAAGACTACTTGTGTGACCTAGAAAGGGAAGAAAAAGTGTGTAGTGGTGCGATAATATAATAATAATTATGTGTATGTGTGTGTATGTGTATGTGTGATGCTTTTTGCATTATGGCCTGAACATGTATATGTTTTGCTTTCATACACCAAGACAAATAATGCAGAAATAAGAATTTGATGGTTGGGGCAGGGTAGGAGAGGACTTTTTTGTAAAGCAGTTTTTGGAAGAACATACCTTTACGGCTAGTATTTTCCCACTGGGGACATGGTTTGCTCTGCATACAGAAAAAAGAGAAAAAGTCAGTTCAAACTGCAGTGGGGGGATGAGATCCATTCTTTGGATTTGCTACACTAATGAATACTTGCAGTCAATGCCATTTTTGAGCAACTTGTTAATTTGGGTGATACACATCACCAGTTCTAGCTCTTATGAAGTAAACAGCTTCAGACATCTTTCCAATTTGCAAACTCAAATCAATCTTTCACAACTCCTGATTCACCAATGGAATCAACTGCATAATGTGGAATAATAAAAGCTAAATAGGCTTCCCATTTTGCTGCCTGCCTGGGAGTGCAAAAACAGAGAAGGGGGTGATATCAAGCACATGGCAGGTATCAATACCTGGACTATTCTTGTCTTGGTAGCACATTGCAGGACTCAACTAAAAAGCACACCATAAAATGCAATGTGATTTGCTAGCCTAAGGACTGCAGCCTCAGTGCCTCTGTTCATATATATTATAATTTTTTACAGAATAATCACTCAAACATTTACATTATTTAATTTTAATTTATGAAAATACAATTTATGTATTAAAACTATGCACAAGCAATGTGATTTATTTGCAAACACAAGTAATTTTTTAGCAGCATTTATGCAAATCCCAAATATACTTGAAGAAAAAGCATTTAAAAGCAGAGAAGAAGAATATCCACTTAAATGATAATTGAGAGACTGACAGCAGAAGGCACAGTCAATAAACCAAATAGAAGGTAATCCATGAGGTAACTATTGATGAACCAACAATGGCAGAACATTTTGACTTTCAGATAAGCAGAAACGATAAGAAAACAAACATCTGAGATGGGATGCTTAACGTCTGTTAGTTCAATATGTATTGTGCTGGGCAGTTTGGCAACTTAATTAGCCTGTCAAGAAAGCCGATCCTTCCCACCACCTTCTTATTCCATGAGAGGAGTGGGGATGGGGATGGTCTCTTGTTTCCAAATGAATTAAAAGGAAAGACTTGATGATTTAATTATGATGCACGCCAATTCATCCGTGGAAGTTTGGGTTAAATTTCCAGCAAAGAGCAAGTACCTGGTTTGGTTTACAGAGCATTGACAGTAGCAATTTAACTTTTAATTATCATTGAGAAAGAGATCACAAAACAGATACCGTGCCCACAGGGGCAGAGCATCCCCTTGGCTTCTGCAAGTGCCATGCTACCTGGAAGAAAGAAAACTTGTTTACTCCTGACCGCCATGGCATCTCAATTGTCTTGACCTCCTGCAGCACATTAACTGTAAAGTGATTAATGGAGTCTGAATGGGAGCTTTGGTTACACCAAAAGAAAACCGGACACCTCGGCAGTGTTTTAATTAACAGCTAACACTTCAAATTAGGCTGTAGCTGCTGCAGTAATTACCTGTCCCAATGAGTTTGCTGGAAAAACATTCCCCCGCAAGTGAATACTAAGCAGAACAACTAGTTGACATTGGTCATTTAAATTATGTGCTTGCTACCTTGATCCAGATACCAAACCCAATTCAGGGCCGGACATGGAGCTCCTACACACAATTCTTCCCCCATTTGTTTCAATATAGGAAGAAGAGCAACACATCCAAAAGAATACATGTTCCAATCTTCTTTGGGCTGCTTTGTGTAGTTTCAAATCCCCGCAGTTCTGCTTTCCAGAAGAAGATGCATCAAAAAGGCAAAATATTCTGGTTCCAGGTGGATATCTTTAAAATGACTTGCTTAAGTAAAACATGATTTGTTTGTTTCATTACCTGGTCAAAATTTATATCCTCTAAATATAACATCACTTGAGATAATTCAGTGTTATAATCTATGGATTGATTTTCCAATTAAAGCATTTGGATCAATTAACAGGGTGCTGAAAATCTTGCAGAATAATGCATGGTATAGTAAGCCCTCCTCCCAAACAGAACAGTATTATTTCTAAATTAGAAGGGCATTGATTCATCATCTCACTGACTTTTAACCCCGCTTTCTGCTCACCTAATCAGAAAAATTAACTCATGGTAAAGATTGGCAGTTTTCATTCTTCTGAATAGCCTCTAACGGCTGGAGTAGTTATTTTAAGCTGCTGCTACATTCGATATTCCTACCCTGTTTAAACAGACTACAGGAAAGACGAAGTGTCAGTTGTTGCTTTTTGACACCTCCCCACCAGGAAAACAAAAACAAAATACAGAACTCTCCTGCTGAATGTTACCTATTTGTGCTCATTACTCTGAGCCTTCTATATCCATTTACAAAGAACAGCTTTTAAGCATGACCAGCACAATTGTGTCAAATATTTTATTAACCTTGACTATTAACCATATCCCCAGACGTTTGAAGCCTGAAGGGACTTGGTGTGGGCCAAGTCCATTTTGCATAACTCTAAGTTTCTACCACTTGGAAATTCAAATGCTTCCCTGCAGGGAGCTCTGAGACGGCAATGTGCCCAGACCTGGCAAGATAGCTATTTTGGGCACAGAAAGACAGACTGTGTTATCAGAGGCAGGCGTGTGTGCACACACATACCACTTGAGAGCAAAACCATTCAAATTTTCCTAGTTTAGTTGCTTATTTTTCCCCTCCTGAAGGAAGGGTCATGAGCTCGTGTGTGTGTGTGTGTGTGTGTGCGCGCGCGCGCGTGTGGTGGGACCAGAACAATGAGCCCAAGAAGTCAAGACAGGAAAAACCAAGGAACCTGAAACTGCTTTCTCTAGAATCTTGCAAGTTCTCAACACGGTAATGTAAGTGACAGATGCCTGTTAGGACCAGCATAAAGATGACCCACAGCAAAGGGTCTTTGTTACCGTTTCTGCCTCCTGGTTGAAGCTACATTGTTCCCCTTGATTCCTTCTTATGGGACAGGAAGCACTGACAGAGTCAGATTTGTGGAGTATCTAGAATGCAATGAAAGCCATACTGGATGAGACCAAAGGCCCATCTAGTCCAGCATCCTGTGGCCAACCAGATGCCTTTGAGAAGCCCTCAAGCAGGACAGGAGCACAACAGCAGTCAAATGTAGACACATTGACATGAGCTGCCCAAGAAGAGGAAATAACTAACTACACAATGTTCAGAAAGCCTGCTGGAGGGGAAGATGTCTCTAATCATAATCTCCATCCTCTTATTTTGGATGGAACCTTACTGCAAGGCAGCTGTTGATTTGGCTCCATAATACATTACTCAACGATAGTCGTCAGTGCTCAAAAACTCCTGGATCAGAAAACAAAATGAAGCACCACCCCTCCAGAAATAAAATAAGCAACAGGGGAAAACCAGCCGATCACATCCTCATGCATGAGAAGCTCAGTTTCTCTAAACATTACACACTGTGCAAGGATATGATGCTCACTGGCTGTAGACAACATGTAGCAAAATCACGTACAAATTTGGTTCCAGGCCTTTTTGTTTGCACACTCTAGATTTAGCACTCTGCTCTGTGCTAATGGCCAGAGTTTGGGAGTTTTAATGATGATATTTTCACATACTGAAACAGCCGTCTAAAAAGGAAAAGATTCAGATGGCTTCCAGGAAATTAGCACTTTGACAGTTGTTGCCTTCTGTAATAGGCAAGCCCATTAGCCTGACTTGCTGGTTGTTAAAAAGAGGATATTCAGAAGTGAGCAGCGCTAGTAAAGAGCAGCTCTTATTGGGACTCGGCTCGTTCAGAGCAACAATCTATGCCAGCCCTTCCTTCTGTCTGAAATCCCACCGCAGATGCTTGAATAATGACCACAAAATGATTCATTATTAACTTGAAGGCATGCCCTGGCCCACAAACTGTGTGCCTCTAAAACTCTTCCAATGACTCAAGACCCACCACACAATTTTTGGAGGAGGAAAAAAAGATTCCTGCAGGGACAGAATGGACTGTACCATTTTAGGCTGCAGATAAAGGAATCACATTCCTGAACGCTCCCCTATGCTTTATAAATTTGTTTAGCCACTTTTAAAAAGAATTTATTACCAGTCCTTTTCTGCAAGGCCCCAGCACAGCTTAAAATGATAAAATACTATATTACAATCAGTTAAAATAATTTACATCAGAAGAAGGGGGTGGGTCCTAAAAATATACGACTCAGCTGTTAAAGAGGTTGAGCCTTTAGCTAAAGCTATACAATGAAGGTGCCAGACAGACCTCTGTGGGGAGGGAATTCCACAGCTACAAACCTCCAAGGGTGGTAAAACTACCAAGAGGGGCCTCCACTGCCTATCTAAATACCCAAGAGGGAATGAGGCAGTGCTTTCATATATCTGGAGACGAAATCATTTAGGGCTTAATGTGAACACCTTAAACTGCGGTGGCAAACAGTGAAGCAGTTTCTGAAGAGGGGTTGTATGTGACTGACAGCTAGGTGGACTCCTAAAAAAAAAAATGGCCTGCTGAAGAAGGAATAGAAACTAACTATACTCCTGTTTGCTTTTATATGGAAAGACAATCAACATGCCAATCCATGTTCTCTGTACAGCTTGAACAAGCTTGCAATAACCCTCACTGAGCTAACCATGTTAGATCCCATCTCCTAATAAACAACAGGCTTCTGTTGTTCCTTACCAAAAATACCTGACTTATTTTTAATCAAGAACAACTTAACTTTTTGCTGAAAATTCAGGAGGATGAGTACACAGTGTAAAAAAACAAGTTTAATTTAAGAATCAACCAGTTTCTAATTAAACTGCCATAGGCAGCTGGTTGGATAAGTTTTAATCAGTTTCAGTCACCTATTGATTGGGATACTGAAGCTTTAAAAATTAAAAGTAAAAGTAAAAGATGATTGGGGAATTGCTCCATCTCAGAACAACAGTGCAGCCCTCGGTAAATAACTCCTCTTTTAACCATCAGCTAAATGAACACTTCAATACTGCAGTACAAAGTCTTCTGCAAAATTACTTTAACTAACAAGCAGAAATTTATCAGCTTCAGCCAAAATCAATGCTGAAATCAATTTGAACACTGGTTGTGTCTAAAGGGGCTCATTGGCAATTTAGGGAAATTACACCATGTAAATGTCTGTGCTTTAATTGAAC